AGCGATACGAGGACTATGTCAGGTTCCGCGAGTTCCTGGAACTGATGGGATAGCACATGACGGCGGCAGAACATATTGGCATATCGAAAGTCGGTCAACGCAGGAAAGGTAGTCCCAGGGTATTCGAAAGCGGATTTAGCGAGGACTGTATAGGAGCGTGGAGACGTGATGTTGGTCTGAAAGTCCTTGTTAGCTTTTTGTATGCGCAGCTCAGTGTCAGATGCAATAGTAGAAATCGATGCTTTATGCTTGGGATTTGTATGCGCGAAATCTAAACCAATGCGAGCGCGGCGCCAAGGTGGCTAGAGGTCGTGTCGTATTTTGCCGCATTCATTTTGCTAAAACCTAATTAGTACCTTCCTCCTAAGGCGATGTATACTTGTACTCTGAATTTCTTCTTCCGAATCACGACTGCCGCTGCTTGAGGCAGATCCTATGTAACCAATGCTTCGCAATATAGTAGCTGTGGCCATGGTAATAAAGTGCGCGGATCGAAAATGGTTTATTCGAAGGTAAAGGCCGAGCTCGTCACGCAGTGAGTATGTATTCGAGTCTCTCAGGCAGTATCGTACGAGAATCAACAACGCAGCACCGTAAAGTGGGAAGTGGGTAAGTACGCTGACGTCGATCCTGCTATAATTAGGCCCGGGGTGCCTGACTGTGGGGTGACTAATGCAACGTGCCGTGTGAAGCTCTTCATGAAGGCAGGATCGTGGGTACCTGTTCGGGAAGGCGGATGTACGATGATGACGATGTTCGTATTGGACGCCTAGAGTCATATATAAGAGTGGAGAGCTTGTCGGTGAAAGAAGATCCCATCTCTTAGGTACCAACAAGTACTTCGAACCAATCTTCATCATGCACTTCACACAGACAGCTTTCGCTGCCATTCTGGCAATCACGTCTTCAGCCGCTGCATCTCCCCTGGCGGCCCGTCAGAGTGCGCTTCAGGACTGGCAAGTCACCAGGGTGAATGTCTACACGCCGTCGGGACGCCCTGGTAGCTACCCATGGGCTTCCATCACAGCCGACGTGACAGACCCCAACGTGATCGATCTTGGTCCCGCAAGATTCGATGCTACCAACGTCACCGCGCCAGCTGGAAGTCAAGGACTTGTACGTCTAAAATTTCCTGTCTCTTACTCCAGTACGTTTGCTGATGCGTCCCTAGAACTGCAAAGCGCAATGGTACACTAAGGGCGAGAACCCCCTAGACCGGACTTGGCCGTGCGATGGCACATCCGATGGCTACTGGGTCATGAACGTCCTGGAGGGAAGCGATGGTTTCGGAACTCGCGACTTCACCCTGAAGTTTACCCACGTAGCCGACGTCAAGTACCAGGGTGCGCAGTACACGGCGACGTATGAAGCGGAAGGTTACTTCACGGGCGGCCAGAACCTCGCTGGTTCATGTGGTGGAAGTGGAGTCTGCAGCTTTGGCTTGAAGGCTGAGGCGAAACCCTTTGCGATTACCCCAAAGAAGCTATAGAGGTCGGGAGATGAGAGCTTGGAAGGGATGATAGAGATGATGGGATTCTCGTAACTATTACACCTGTGCAATGTATTAGTCAAGGTATGCTAAAGCGCCGTCCGAGATGAAATGCCAATCCAAACCTCAACATGCTTCCAACAAACCTCAACTTCGCCCCCAAGTCATGCGTGTAAAGGTATGGTAACCTCTTCACTCGTAGATGCGGGATAGCGTGGTAAGATATCGTCGCATGTTTTCAGGCGACACAGTTACAGTTTGTACTTTGCATGGCCTTACGATGCATCATGGTGACCTTATTCCCGTGCTGCTCGCCGTGGAAGGATGACGATCGGTTGACGTCTTCGCTCGGTGATCGACATCGCCCATTGCTGCTGGACATGACTGAGAATCATAAGAACGTTGCGCGACTCCGGGATCTCGTAGAAGTGCCGTGGTCAGAATGCGCACTCGTAGTTGTACGCGCCATCGGAAGTGGCCGGCGAAGCTATCGGGGACGCGCTTGCTATCACGCATCAGCATCGCGACTTCCGTCAGTTGCCGGCGCACTCCGTCAGCAGCCCCAGATATCCACACATCCCTCTGAAAATCATTACTACGGCGATACTGCGCAGAGATAATTCGCGTCTACTCGTCTTCTAGCCCACTGTTGCTCAGGGTTTGCTGTGCTGATCGAGCGAGTTAGTGCTAACGGACTGGGTTATCCCCGCATCTCAGCTCCGGACTTGGCACCGTCACAAGCTTGGAGCTCCCCTCCCCCGAACGTGGGCCTGGCGTTTACCATTCACGGCCAGCCGACTAGCCTGCATCAGTCTGCCGACCCAGAAGATCCTCGGCCCAGACGTCAAGATGGGTGACGTCTGTATCATGAATATATTATCTGCCGACCGCCCAGCCCTCTCCGCACGCTGCATACCCCATTGCATTCCTCCCTTCGTACCTTGAGTACTTGAACATATCCATCAATTGTATCAGACATTTACATCTTTCACAATGGCAGCTAGCGCCGATAGTATCCTGCGGGAGGTCAACATCCTCGGCGACCTCAACGACCAGAACCGTCACATCCTCAGCAAGGACGCCTGTGTCTTCCTTGCGCTTCTCCACCGCACATTCAATGAGCGCCGGAAGGCGCTGCTTCAGCGACGAGTAATCCGACAAGCTGAGCTCGACAAGGGAAACCTTCTCGACTTCCTCCCAGAGACCAAGCACATCCGTGAGAACGATGCTTGGAAGGGCGCACCACCCGCGCCAGGTCTCGTTGACAGGCGCGTCGAGATCACGGGCCCGACAGATCGCAAGATGGTAGTCAACGCCCTGAACTCGAACGTCTGGACATACATGGCCGACTTTGAGGGTATGTATTCAATCCTGGATATGAAAGGGATGATAGCTAACCTCCACCAGACTCATCTGCACCAACATGGGACAACATGATCAACGGTCAACTCAACCTCTACGACGCCATCCGCAAGCAAGTCGACTTCAAGCAAGGCGAGAAGGAGTACAAGCTCCGCACCGACCGAACACTCCCCACACTCATTGCTCGCGCGCGAGGATGGCATCTCGAGGAGAAGCACTTCACCGTTGATGGAGAGCCCATCTCTGGTGGGCTGTTCGACTTTGGACTGTACTTCTTCCACAACGCACACGAGCTCGTCAAGCGCGGAGCGGGACCATACTTCTACCTGCCCAAGATGGAGTCGCATCTTGAGGCTAGGCTGTGGAACGATGCATTCAACCTGGCGCAGGACTACATTGGCATGAGGCGCGGAACCATTCGCGGTACCGTCTTGATCGAGACCATCACCGCCGCTTTCGAGATGGATGAGGTACGTTGAGCACACCACCAACACATCTGGATTATACTGACTGCTACATAGATCATCTACGAGCTCCGCGACCACTCCTCAGGTCTCAACTGCGGTCGCTGGGATTACATCTTCAGCACCATCAAGCGCTTCCGCCAGAACCCCAACTTCGTCCTCCCCGACCGCGACTCCGTCACCATGACCTCGCCCTTCATGGACGCCTACGTCAAGCTTCTCATCAAGACTTGCCACAGGCGCGGCGTACACGCCATGGGCGGTATGGCTGCTCAGATTCCGATCAAGACCGACCCGAAAGCAAACGATGCTGCCATGGCCAAGGTGCGCGCCGACAAGCTCCGCGAGGCACGCGCTGGCCACGACGGTACATGGGTAGCTCACCCAGCCCTTGCGGCTATCGCGAGCGAAGTCTTCAACGAGCACATGCCTACGCCCAACCAAATGCACGTCCGCCGCGAAGACGTCCACATCACCGCCAACGACCTCCTCAACATGAACGTGCCCGGCAAGGTCACCGAGGACGGCATTCGCAAGAACCTTGACATCGGTCTCAGCTACATGGAGGCCTGGGTACGTGGTGTCGGCTGTGTACCCATCAATTACCTCATGGAGGACGCTGCTACAGCCGAGGTCTCAAGAAGTCAACTGTGGCAATGGACCAGGCACAACGTCGAGACTGCCGAGGGCAAGAAGGTGACCAAGGACTACGCGCTCAAGCTTCTGCACGAGCAAGCTAAGGCACTCAGCGACAAGGCACCAAAGGGCAACAAGTTCCATCTTGCGGCCAAGTACTTTGAGGGACAGGTCACTGGAGAGGACTACGCCGAGTTCTTGACATCGTAAGTCCAACCCCATCTTTCCTTAACGATACATGCTAACAACGTCCCAGACTACTCTACAACGAGATCACAAACGTAGGTGCGCCCAAGGGAGCCGCCAAGTTGTAGTCTACACTTTGCGATACCTTGCACTTTCCTTACATCTATTGCTATATCCTGTAACCTTATACCAGTGTCCAGACCCGAAGAGTCTGTACCCAAAACCAATGAAGTTCATAATCCTCAAAATCACTACCACTACCCTGCTTGCACATCGTATCACCTAAGCATGTGAACGTAAGCTAACGCGGCTACCACAGGTCGGCTCCCCGGTTGCGGCCTCGAAACTGTAGACGGGCGTGTGCCGAGGTATGATTCAGACGCTCGGATGTACAGTGCATGGACGGTAAAGATGCGCTTAGGAAGAACAGCGATTAGTCTAGAGTGGAAGAGGGGGTGACATGTGAAAGGCCATTGCTCGAATAGTATATGATGAACACACGCACAGTCGGCCCCAGCCACATCATCGGATGTCTTACTTGTGATATACACGGTACCACTGCGATAGCAATATGCCTTGAATGAGTTAACGACGTCTGATTATTCCGTAGCGGGGAAGAGTCTTGATCATGTTGGGTCGACGATGAGGCGCAATGGAAACAATAAGGTCTGCGGACAAGAACTTGAAAGAAAAGAACGTTCACATGAACATTTGAAACCCATGATTCGTAGTCTCGTGGTATCTAGAGAAGTGGCGTTATCATGCCGAGTGCATTCAGTGTCCCGCGACTATGCAGACCAGATACATGACTAAACACCCATTTTGACCTGACCAATGCACCGAAGAAGCCCCAAATATCACCCTTACTTCCTGAGCAGACGCTGGTAGAAAGCAAGCTCCTCGCCCTCGAGGACGTAGCCGTCGCAGCGACCGCTCTGGCCGGGACGGGAAGAGACAGCGGCGTACAGACGACCGGCCTCGAACTGCTTCTCAACAGCGTTCTCGATCTTTCCTCCGTTCTTCAAGCGGTCGGCCTGCTTCTTGGAGACCGAGTTGGACTTCTTCTTGTCCTCCTCCTTCTCACCGGCCTTGGCCTGCCTCCTGCGGCCGAGCGAAGAGCCGTAGTGGGCCTCGTACCATTGTCGGAAGGGAGCGGCATCGATCTGGACGATAGCGGAGCGGGTCAGGGTGTTGGTACGGACGAGCTCGTTGTTGGAGGGGTGGTAGACGACACCGATGACACGGGTCTTCTTGGCGATGCCCTCGGAGCCCCAGGAGAAGTTGCCGGCTTCGAGACGAAGAGCACGGAACTTGCGGTTGCCGCCACGAGTGCGGACAAGATGGACACGCTTTGTGCCAATACGGGTATTGGCAGGCTGGCGGCCCTTCTCGAAAGCCCTGAAGCCATGTTAGACATGACTAGAGAAGCGATCGGGTTATGCATACCTCTTCTTGCGGTAGTATGCGCGCTTCGCACCGGACGCGGAACGCTTGTGGCGAGAGTCTCGTGAGATACTGGCGAGTGTTAGTGGCTGCAGCGGAGTGGGGGTGAGGGAAGGATAGATACCCCATGATTGCGGTTGTTCAGAAGACGCTGTGTCCACAATCAAATTAGCCTTTGCTCTCAGTTGCAAATCGACGAAGCCGCAGCATTGTTCCAGCTGCCCGAGACGTCCCCCGCCTTGTACTGCCTGCTGTGGGAGTGTAGATATCGAGCGACTCGCGTGCGACCATACAATCCATTGGCGGAGGCTGACGGCGGCGGAACATTCGCGGGGCAGCGTCGATGTCGCAATGCTGAACGGCTCCGTATAATCGAGTAGAGGGCGTTCTGTATAGCGTACCTGATGTCGGGTCTCCTGGTGCAATCTGTGTTGTCGTTGGGGTTAGTTGGCGCTTGTCAGAAGTCGAAGAGGAAATTCACGAAACTCATTTTCGCAGCTGCGTTGGTGCCAAGATACGCTAGCAGTAAGCGAGTCCTCCGCCGCCCCATCGCTCCTGCCATCACCAGAACATCTCAACGAACGTTAGCAGTACACATCACTTATGCGTGATAGTTATAAGTACAGTCTGCGCTGTTGGGACCTCGATCACCGCCGACGCGCTTAACCCCCGACCGAAAGACAAGACGACCAGGAACGGAACACCACGCAAAGCCATCAATCACCACATGGGCTGTGGACAGCATGAGAACGGCAGCCATAGATGGCCATCAGAAGGGTTGTCGTCTGGCTAACTTTTGAAAAGCCGCTCATCTGTCACGAAGTCGATGTTATTCCTTCTTCGAGCGCTGCAACATGCTCATCCGCCACCTCTGCAGCTGCTAGCTACACATGGTTCGCCAAGATTGTATCTTTCTCAACGTCCACAGATGTTGCTGATCCTGTCATTGTGTTGGATCGGTAGTACGGAAACCAGCAGCTCCAGGGCATGCCAGTCTTCTTGCGAGAACGCGCGTTGACAGCAACAGTATGCTATGATGACGATCTCGCGGCCACAAGTGCTTGTGACAACAATGTCTACCGTTTGATCCTCTTCACACGGCTTTTTGTGTTAGTCCCTGAGTTCCGTTAGATGTTTAACGTCGAAAGCAGCTCAAAGATCTTCCCTCGGCCAACACATAAAGATCCTGTCCCTTGTGTAGCTCGGAGCGAGCGAAGCACGCATCGGCTACACGCATGAACCTCCCGCTATCACCCGTGAAAGCAGCTGCGTGATCAGGTTATCAATACTACACAGGCTCTTCCGTGCCCAGAAAGATGCGATCAGCAGGACAGTGAACGCGTGTCGAATGACCCTGGTGCGATATCGAGGGACGTTTCTAGCGAGCACCTAGAAACACCATACATGTCCTCACCACGTGCGTTCAACCTTGCACCGAAGGTTTGTCGCCTGAATGGGCCCGGCTGAATGTCATATACGCCACCCGCGACGAGCGCTTCGGACGGGTCCTCCGCAACCTGCATGTTGGGTCGACAAGTCACCTTTACATTTGGGAAGTCATCGATAACGCTTGAGTGTTCAACAGCTGAATTCTCTTGCGTCATCGAACATGCATCGATACCAAGTTTGTGTTGAGATCTCAGGCCTGTACTACGGCTGTGTGACAGAACTACGACAATCAAGCTCAGCCAATGTCACGTAAAGTTGCGATGAGCTGACGAAAACGCTGGAGATGACCAACACATCATGCGCATTGTTATTGTGCTGCTCGGGCACATGGCATTCCTCCTCGAACCCTGTCCTAGAACTCCTTCGACCTGGTTAAAGACTTCTATCAGAGACCTGTGCGATCGTGATTCGTCCGTTCGCGATAACCTCGTCACTTTTGCAGGCAGCACGGGTATGGTACAGGGGTTGCGGCTCGCTAAGGTACCTGGAAGGAACCAGTCTCTGGTAAACATCCAGCCGACGTATAAGGTTGCGTTCCCGCTCCGGGTAAAGCCATCTCCGCATTCGGGCGTTTCCAATCGGCACAATCGTAACCCCAGAATCCAAGAAAGTCTAATCAATAGCAATCTAAGTAGATGTTGTGTACCACAGTCCTAGCCTTTATCTCAGTCACCGGCCATCTCCTCGGTATATGTAGGACGCGGAGATTTTTGATTCATTACCTTTGATTGCTTGCTGAGATCCTGCATTAGGTGTTTTGAGAGGGTGTAATGTAAGACTGAGGTATCCTCTGTTCTTCGCAGTCACCACTTCCACATCATGACTCTTTGAGAATACTCTGTATCTGAAGCCATCTTCACCATGTACTCCGGTGCCGACCTTCGGTTGTGTCATGTCTTGTGCCTATGTGCGACTTGGCTAGGCGTTACATCCGCGCTAGCACAGGCGGGTATGCATCAGGTGTTGGCCATCATAGGACACTAGAATCATTCGCGCTGACTTTCATACAGAGCTAGCCGACTATGGGTCAGAATTCGCCTCGGGAGTCCAGTACTCTGTGACAGCGGAACCAAGTGAGTGGCGCTGACTAGCCCAAAGTTCGATGGCTGATCTGACATGTCGTGTCTAATAGACTCCAATATTGGTGCACCCACAGATCTTGCGCCTCCAGTAGACCCAACACCTCCCCCCAATGCGATACCTTCGCAGCAACCCGGAATCATCCATACTGTTTCGCTCCCGGAGCCAAATCTCATTCCCTCAACGCTGGTCCCGTCTGGAGCCATACCGACTGCGCCATTGCCAATCTCAAACCCGTTGCTCATTCCCACTGGCGGACCACCGACGGATGTGACGACTGTGTTGACCACGTCTCAAGGAAATGCCACAGGGACGCCGCCAATGCTGTCAACAGTTGAAGGGCTGAAACCAATTCCGCCAGCCGCAACACAGATTGGAGACCCGAATGGGCATCACGAGATCAGCGAGCCAAACTTCAGTTCTACGCGGCCGTGTCGAGGATGCTCGCCAGTATTTGAGATACCTGCTACAGGGTGGCTGGATAACCCAGTCGGAGAGCAACATGGCTCCACTATACAAGAAGAACAGACACAAGCGGCAACAGCAGACCTTCCGCAGGTAACGATATCAGCTGGGGTATCTGACATTGTTATTGGCCAAGCTCCAAGTCATGGTGACTTCGTGATAGGAAGTTCTTTTACTCTTACGCCTGGTCAGATCGTTACCGTTGGGGACACACCTATTGTGGTAGAGACCTCAGAAGGCAAGACCAAGATTGTCGTGGGGACTACTGTCATCTCTCTGCAACCTTTTCAACCTGCTATCACAGACGCGCACATGTCGCAGCCACCGGTCCTACTTCCACCAATACTCACCATCGGTACCGAAGTCATCGCACCCAATGCGCAGACAGAATACGTTATTGCAGACCAAACTCTTTCTCCAGGCGACGAGCCCCTGACTATATCCGGAACAACACTCATTCTCGCACCTTCCGCGACGGCACTCATCATCAACGGCGAAACATCCAGTATCACTCCAATGTCTGGTAACGTGTATACGTCCACAGTCGCGGCTGCCTTGACCTTCAAAGATCATGTGTATACGCCGAATCGCGCTGGCTACATTGTGATAAGTCCTGGCACGACTTTGGTCCCTGGAGGCGCCCCCGTTACAGTTGACGGCACAACGTTGAGCCTCGAGCATAGCGGAACTGCCGTAGTCGTCCAAGGCACTACAATGAGTCTTCAACCGGTCACGACAGTCGTCACATTGACCAAGGGGCCAGATGCGCTTGGGACAGGGTCGGGTGGAGATGGCGGGAATGTTCACGGGCAGTCGACTGGCAACGGCTATGCTTACCCCACAGGAGAACCGATCATCGCGGGAGCGACACGAACTAGTAGTGCGATACCAGAAAATTGGCTGGGAAGCTTCCTGTTGCTGATATGGTGGGGTACGGGGTATCTTGCAGTCCGACTATGAAAGGGTTGGTGTATTCGCATAGATTGAACCTGTAGATCTTCGCGCGATAGATCTCTCAATGCATCCAGCGGCGTTTGAATTGGGATGTTGACCTAAACCACAATTGCGCGCGGATAGATCTTGGCCATTCTTGTGAACAAATGTGTCTATTCTTCAGGCTGGCGATTGCGATGGCTCCATGCTGATGACGAAAGAGCTGAGTGGTAGACGCTGGCGGGCGGCGCTGTAGGGTTGGCACACCGCGAAACTCGGAGTCACGATAGTCGTCAGATGACCCCTTCGTGGCATCGAGAAAGATCTGGCAGCACGATCGTGAGCTTGCGAAAAAAATCACTCACTTGCTGTCACACCACACCCCCTATCCACACCGTCGTCACGCGCCCCAGCGCTCACCGAACAAAAAATTCTCGTCGCCAAACCTCCAAAGGCATTTCTCTAACAGTTAACGGACATGCGCTCAAGGTAAAACACGGTCTTTACGTACAAACATCCACTCCCAGTGGAACAGCAGCGTCTAGACTAAAAGGACCGAAGCAAACTTGGCATCCGACGGGCAACTCGGGGGCGGGAAAGGGCCTGCGTGGATCAGGTACACGCCGTGGTGCGACGAAGCGTGGCAGCCAATAACAGAGATTTTCCCCGCCATACCTCCAAAGGCAGTCTTCTAGCAGCTAACGGACACGACCGAAAACTCGTCACCGCGCCTTTACACACACATGCGCCCTGCCAAAATTAGCCGCCGACGGGAAACGCTCCGGCGCGCCATCGGAAAAGACGCACCAGGGTAGGGCGTGGGCACCTCATTGTCATGATGATGGTGGCACGGACCCCCTCACGCCCTGTGAAGGTGTTCGTTGACAAGACTTCAGTGGGTTTGTCAGCCCGCAGCCAATCAGACGGCCGCATGGCCTCAAATCTCACGATCGTTTCGTCGACATGTGCAGGGCGTGCGCAGAGTGTGCTGAGTAAAATTTTGGCAAAGGTTTGGTCCCAGGGCGTGACCGGTGATGCTTGGCGGGTGTCATAGAGAAGTTTCTGGGGATGGGCTGGGGGAGTATAAAGGGATGGGTGGGTACGTGAGGATGGAGGCATCAACACAGCAAAGCATACCACAGCCTCCAAGCAAAGCAACTACTACTATCAGTTCTTCGATCGACTCTCGAACATCTACTTCACATCGATCATCACCACAACACAAACAACCACCACCAAAATGACCAACTTCCTCTCCTCCGTCGCGGCACACGCAAAGGCCCACCACGAGAGCGTCAACGCTGCCTACAACACCTACTACACCGGCTCCTCCGCAACCACCCCATCAGCCTCCACACAAACCTCCCGCAACTCCTCCATGGCGGGCCCTTCTTCCACTCAGCGCAACCCCACCAACGCCGCCAAGGCATGGAAGGCCATCAAGCAGCACCACCGCGAGATGAACTCCGCCTTCGCCGTCTACTACAGCCCCGGCAACTCTCCCTCAGCATCTCGCAGCTCATCCCTCGCTTCCAGCCCCAGGCAGAGCGGCGAGGCACCCCGCAAGGGCGCTGCTACCGGAGAGAAGGAGATGGCTGCTGAGCTTGGCCCAAGGAACTACCAGAAGGCGTGGAGGGCTCTCAAGAACAAGGTTGTTGAGCACCACAAGAGCGTTAGCAACGCTTACGAGCAGACCTATGGCATCCACTAGACGCCTCGATTGCTAAGCACGGGGAAGATGTGGGGTTGTAATACTTGGGAAACGGAAAAGGGAAAACAAAAGTGAATTTTTGGGATGCGCATATACCACTGGGATTTGGCTCGGTAGCTAGGCGTTTTGGGATCTGGATTGGGACTGAGATCTTAAGAGATCTGATTAATATGAAAGAACGATAATATCATGATTGCGCAAACACTTCTACATGCCCATGGATGATTGTAATTTGTGTCGGTTGTAGAATTGGAAAGAAAAGACGTTGATAATAAGCTGTACTCCAAAACAGACAGTCACGCCAACCTAGGTATAAACTAAATAGCCTAGAGCCTACATTAACGTTAGGTCACCTACTTTGTAAGGGTTTAGCTTAATGTAGCCTGCAGACCTGTTTGGTTCTTTTCTTGTATGAGGTGCAATCACTCCGTACATCAGCTTCAACGGCTGGATATGCTCTATATAGCTAACCTGCCCCTTCACCCACGGTCACTTTCCACCCCTTCAACAGCTCGACATTCATTCCAGATGCTTCCAGATACTTCCGCGTGTGCTCTTGCCTGTCTTTCAGCCACGTACCGTCTTTGTCTATCCCCTTGCCACGCTTACGTTTCCAGTCAGCACCAGTCCATTGCCTCATCTTGCTGGTTTTCATCCAGTCCTTGAGAGCTTCGTCTTGAACACTAATATTCAGTGTACCGTGAGGAGAGAAAGATATGCGGTTGAGGCTTGGGAGGAATTTCGGATCAGGATGCGCCCAAAGTGAGTTTTGAGTTGCAAACACTGCATCGTGGATGTCTCGATCTTCAACACCGTGAGGTTGTGGGGAGCGATTATCGCGCCCGGGGTTAAGTGTCCAGACGTCGCATCGAAGTGATGAATAGCCCTGCATCAGCCGCATAAGGGGCAGAACATCGAAGGGACGTTGTTCCTTCTTGTCAAACTTGTTGAAGTATACCGTCATCTTCGCAGGAGGACGAGCGGGTCGGGTGGGGATCTTTTGGTCGGAATTCGTCTTGTCGGGGACGTGATGGAAAGTCTCAAGGTACCCTTTGAGAAATCGTACGGAAATGTAAACATGAGTGAGACTGTTTTGCAGCAAGCGAAATTCCCCATGAAGTTGGCGGCATGTTTGGCCCAGTGCAAGCCAATCCCTCTTCAAGCATCGAAAGTGTGCGTATTCTGCTTCATTTGGAAGGGGCGGGTAAAGATTGAGGCGAACCATCCGATCTGGGTCTTGTGTATGCTGATCCAGCAGAGGGGCAATCTCGCTGCACTTATAAGCTTCGTACTCTGTCTGCAAATCCCCAGTGACAATTCCGTAGATCGTGTTCCGTATTTCTACAAGCTCATTAGATTCGTATGTTACAATGCGCTTGGATGTTATGACCTACCTGCTGGAAGAGACAGCAATCTGTTGCTCTGATTGCTCTTGGCTGCTTCGGTGATACTGCCAGCAATTGGCTGTCCCAGCGGGGTGGGCGTGGCAGATCTTTTTGCTTTCGCCGCGCGGCGGGATCGCTTGATATAGGTATCAGCGGGCCCAATGGAGCGCTTGCGTTTGCTATCAATGCTGTTAGTCGTTGGTTCGATGAATGGAGGCGCTATTGTACTTACACCATAGCGGAATTCTTCGAGTTCGTGCTCCTCTAAGCGCGATGGATGAGTTGAGTATCGCGGGTGTCGTTTCAACGTTCGGTGTGCGATAGTCAAATGGATCGGAAAGTAAGAGAATAAGGCTGCTTTGATGGGGCCGAAGTGGTCACAATGAATTCAACTACCTCGTATCAGGCAGCAATGGCCTGTGTTTGAGAATACATGTAGTGAAATATCTGCCCAGATGCGGACTATCACGCCCATAGCTGCATACCATTCACTGCTTATCCCCTAGTAATGATTCGGGATAACCCGAGCTCAGGTCAGAGTGTCTGCGGTATGAGTGACTATCCAACATTCAGCAAGTGAATATGTCCACGGGCGTTGCCACAAGGCCTATGACTGGCGCTATTCCAGTACAGTGAATCGCATTTCCCATCTTGCCATAATCTCTTCATTGTTCAAGCCAGCGGCCTTGAGGAACTGTAGAATATCTTGCCTTCTTGCTCTTTCTTTGTTCATCCGCGTGAGAGCTCGTTGCGGCTGGGCGGGGAAGCTTATCAACTTTCCGTCCATCCAGTCACGTCTTGACACAGGATCGAAGACCACTCTGAAAGCTGCGCTATACCATAGATCATGGTAGTTATCAAGATTGCCCTCATAAACTCTTCGCCTCCCGTACGGACGAAACATTAACTTCGAGATGGTAAGGGCACCTTCCCGGGGCGCAAAGATATACTGGCGAAGGGGTTGCGCAAGGACCTTGTACCAGTCCCCGTCTTCTTTGTAAGCACCCCAAATATTGCATTGCAGGGACGATGCGCGGTTGAAGAATCGCAAAACTGGCATTATGTCATACATCTGGTATGAATGGCGTGGTAAAGCAAGCGTAATGCGTGGACCCTGATAGTCGAAAGCAATTGCTGGGTCTTCGCTTGGGTAGAATATCTTTACAAAGTTCCAGAACTCATCAAGAGTCACAAAAGGCTGCAGGCGAGCGCGCTGGAAGGATCGGTACTCTGTGAACGTTGCGATAACAAGTCAGTATATATCCATGTACATTAACGAATACCAGACTTACCACGCATGAATTGACGTGATATCTGCCCAACAGCCAGTAAGTCTGTCTTCATAGCACAGTATCCATCATGTATCGCAGCTTGAGTGGCTGCGTTGACGCGTCGCAATGGATCAGTGTCTGCCCAGGGAATGACATTGAAGCCGTTGGGCGCGCTCATGACCAGTGGACATGGGCTATTGCGTATTTGAGCAGTTGGGGGACCATGTGGATCTACTCCCCTACGCGTGATCATATATGGTCGATGAGTCACTACAAATTGATCGAAGAGAGCCTGATAGATCCTGTTCCTAATCTCTGCATGATGTTAGCACTCGTGCGCGTTGTAGAAGACATCTTACTAACCTCCCGGAAATCTAAGAAGCGGATTGGTGGCGTTCACTACGGTGGCTGCTGCGGCAGCCGCTGCTCTTCTGGCACGTACTCGGCGAGTAGCCGTAGTCTCGGCTTCGCGGCGGCGCTTGGGACTGCCAGCATTAGTGATGTTATGACACCATTATGTGAACATACGGCATATAAGATAGTGTTCAAGTGCTTGAATACTGGTTGTATAGATATGTAATGTCCGTTCAGACTGGAAAATCGCATCGCACCGCTACTTCAGAAGAGCTTGATGTAATTCGAGTAACAAACAAAGGATGCGAGTGTAAAACTGATGGCCGGTAGTGGCTTTGTGGAGACGGGGCTATCAAAGGCTCATTGTCTGAGAACAAGACATTGCCTACACTGAATGCGTAGGGAACTTGGATATTTTCAATCGATCCACGCACAGTCGCCTAATTTGACGTGATCGTCAACAAAAACCCGACCATAGCTCTTGATCTTCGGTGCAGCCATCTGTATGTCTTTGCGTTTCCTCTCATCAACTTGCATGGCATACAAATAGTCGTGAAGGCCAGAATCCTCGGCTATGCGGGCGCTTGGCAATGTGGATTGATCGAGACCGAGTATAGTGATGTATGCCGTCGGAGAGTCTGTGATAGCGACTACATCGCCACCATCAAAAGGCGCTGCCGTGAGCTGGCCTTCGCCAGTTCCCTGCCAGCTCGCACGGGCAGCGACATCTACCACCTCGCCGGTTGTGACATTGAGGGTAAAGGCCGTAATGACTGCTTGAAGCGGAGACTGCGAAAGTGCCCACAATGTGTTTCGAGACGCAGAAATAGCAAGAGATGATGACTGAAACTGTGTCGCATCCAAAGAAGTAGGAAGTATTCTATATCGCAGGACCGGAGTAGAATTGCTCACGAGAGTGTCACCTGCCAAAGAAACGACAATCAGTTCGTTTGAGTTCTTAGTGACGATGTACGTTAAGGTTTCGCTGGGATGGGCGACGATTTGTGAAGCGCTTGTGACATTACCAAGGACATCAATACCCACCACGTCCTGCAAATTCGGGTTTTCGGACATACGGAAGTTCGTAATTGACGTCAAGAGACTTCCGGAAGAGTGCGAGTCCAATGCGTGCAAGTTACGTCCGTTAGGAGCCCATGCAATAGAGTGTACGTCTCCGGCGATCTCTTGGGAGTTAATAGTATCATAACCGTCTGGCGACACCCCAAAGACGATACTGCAAGTGCCTGTGCTAGCACTGCCCCATATAGCAGTGTTGTGCACGGAAGATCCTAGCTGTAGAGACACGAAGTTCGTAGTGTTGCCTGGATTGGTCAGAACGATTCATGCAGGTGTCATGATGAGAACCAACATGATGAGGGTATCTCCATGGTGCCTTCGCTGATGAGCTCGTATGTAGGCGCAATCGAGTGGCGCGTCAGGGTTCCATCCTGCGGACGACTGCTGAAGAGGTGCTGCTTCGAGCGCTACCGAATAGGTCAATGGGAATGACCCTTATCGAAGATTGTTTCACGTACGTCGAGCGCCAAAGACGGCGATGCTCCACCCGCATCTCTTGCCTGAATCGTATACACTTTTCTGGATTCATCGTCCATCTCCAGCGAGTACAAGGCCTGCCCATTCGTAGTGCCGACTGCAAGATGGTGCAGTAGCGCGTTCATAGACGGTACAAATAGTACGATTGCAAGGAGAGTCAACATGGCGCCGTATGATGAGTTGAGAACCAGACCAATGTGAGTGTAAGGATATGGTTCTATCGTCTCGCAGTTTATCAGCATGTGAGCCAGCCCTGCATGACACATTTCCGTGAAAGCGCAATGTGGGGTGCAGCTGGTGAGAGGGCTTCCAATATCGAGGGCGAATCTCTGGTGATTAACCATGCCGGTAGTTGCCTTGATCCAATATTGCCCGAAATCAGTGGCGCCTGCTGATCACGCGCGAAGGCATCTGATAGTTATTGATGCTTGACACATGATCATGGGTATGGTGACATGGCTAACTCTCTGCGAATTGCTCCTGTCGACCAGACGCATCTCGCGGACGCCCGGAAGTGGGGATGGACGTTGAGAAAGAGCAACTGTCTCATAAGTCGGAGATCTTCAGTACCGGTATGGTGCCCTGATCGCAGAGGATTCGTGCGCGACGACGATAAAATACGTGGTCAGGAGGATGGTATATTGATGCTGAAATGAGGATCAAAGAAGGAGGCTGGGACGCGTGCATCGGGGCTGTCCTGTTCGGCGCTAGTGAGAGCTTGCGTCATAGCCACGAAAAACACCATCCCCTTTCTGTCCCTCTCGCAACAAGCTCTCAAAATTAGAACCAGCCACTACGCGATGAGTACCAAACAACATTTTGAAGATTGACAGCGTTCTTTATATTTGATTGAGCAATCGTGTAACATGTACCTTGAATTCATCTGCTGATGGTAAAGGGACAATACAGCGCGCACGTCCACTTGCATGTGCACCTGCAGTGTATGCTAAACTGCATAGTCAAGGAAAGCCTGAACATCTTCCGTATCAAGCGAAGACCCAGACTCAAGATCGTCGCGATAGAAACTCGGAATAAGCCCATCTACCTCGTCCAATGTTACCCGCCGATAGAACAGCTTCCGCCAAGGCCAACCTAGGAACCCACACAAAACACGTCCGCATTTCGCCAGTCTCGATTTAACAGACTCGTACTTTTTGTCGACGTACATTTGACAGCGACCGATCATCCTGGCCGGCAACTCATCCTCGTCCCACAATAAATCCCAACGGCAATTCAGCAGAACAGCTCGAAATGATAGACGCGTCTTCAATTTAACCCCGTGATCGTGACGAAACGACTCAAGTCCAGGAGTGCGCGCAGATACCGGCGTATACCTCCATCCTGCCGGGCCCGCAGAGAGCGGCGAACAGTTCGTGTAGCTTACATGCAGTGGAGCTGGGATACGCGGACGCTGGAGGGCTGATTTACTACGAGGATTGGTCTTCGGGTAATAGGAGAAGTAGTCCTCTTGCGCTGTGGGTTGGAGTGCCGGGTATGTTTCGGTCCGTGTGACCACGCGTGTATTTGCTCGACCGTTCATCATCCTTTGTCCCCGTTCTTGGAACATGTATTCACGCCGTCTGGGAATGGTGAATAGGCGGGTGAACGCTAGGATATAGTGCTGATACCACATTGTGCGGGTAGAACATGCGCGCTTTGTCTGGCACATGATGTCTGATTCTGAGGTCTCACATGCGCCTTTCACGCACACTGCCGAAGTGGCTGGGTGTTTGACAGCCTGTTCATCGTTGAGGATACTTCGGTATCGTTCAGGGTGTCGCGTTGATACTAAATCGTCGACTCTTCTTAGTGTACGCCGCCTATCCTGCCAACATAGACCCATTCACCATCTCCTTGTACACGCCATGGGCTTGCGAAAACCTGACTCTTCTCCTCAGTGTCGTTTTCGGCGACGTCCAGGTACCACTGTTTCCACGTTGAATCCCAGGTCCAGTCTTCCCACGCACCTAGCATTTCTACCGCGACATCCGGCATCAGATTTACACCAGCCATGCTCACATGCTCCCAAACGTTCCTGATCTCATTCAACTTCCAGCGCGAAAGGTAAAGATATGTTTGCTGAGAGGGTATGTAGGTGTAGAACTCATGCCAGGCAGGATCCCAAGTCCAAGAATACGCTGACAATGTCTGCTGTGGGGTAGTCTGTTCACCGGGGCTTGTAGAGGTGATCAATTGGTCGAGCAGCGTGATCGCGTTTGAGAGGTCGATGATGTCGAGAATAGTTGGTAGTGATATGTTGAGTAATTGATCTGATGGATGCCAATCTCCTCGCGATCGTAATCGTTGTTCCAACACCCGTAGTTGCATTTCCAGCGCTTCCAGGTGAGTTTTGATCTCTTTGTCAGGCGAGGTTATGATGAGCATATTTCCCGTGTCGTTCTCATCATCAGCGGAAGAGAAGGGTCTCAAAACGAACCCCTCACGCCCTGCTATGGTGTCTGCGATAAATTTCCTTGTTGTTTGCTGGAGTGTGACAACGGCCTCTGTGAGATCTAGCGCTCGATCTCCATTGATTGCTGAGGATGCCATGCTCAATCTCGTTGTGCTTTGATCGAAATCTTCTACTGCAGTAGAAACCGCTCGATAAGTAATGATGCTTGAACAAGCATTGCGCACCTTGTCACAGGTGATGTTGTCAAGCAACAGATCGCCGATACAGCCGAAATTTAGCCCTCATCGCCACCGTGGAATATTTTATTCCCATAATAAGATGCGAGAACCTTCATGGACGCGGGCAGTCATCTTTGCGTATGTTTCGTGCTGAGCAAGTCGAAGTCACAGTATGAAGCGCTGGAGATAACCTGGAAGCTGAAATTTGGCGCCGCTTTGGTTGGTGATCTCGGGAGGTTGGGAAATGGCGATGACGTCATTGCTCTCAAGCTCCTGAGGTCCACGACTTCCTTGTGCTTCGCTACCTAGGTAGCCTCATGCGCGTTGCGTACAAACTCGAATAATCACCAAATCATGAGGAACGACACAGATTACCATCTCTACAGATACCGAAACATCGAAAGCTGGGTACACCGCAATGGAGCTCATCCATTCACAAGTACTAGTCGTCCACCGAGACGTAACTAGTAAGACTCCGATGGAAGCAAACTGGGAACTCGATATTGTTCGTGGCCCATTGAATTGGATGCAGCTTTCGATTATCAGACAAAAAAGCCAACCCAGAGAATACTCCCGTGAGTGTGTACAATATCATTCCATCTTCCACCACTCTCCCCGAACATTCACCCAAACCCCACATAGTACTCTCTCAACGAGACTCGAGTCATGCCACACCAGCAATATACACACATAACACGTCCCAATCCCGCCCATAGCCATGTCTCTCAATTTGAACCACACATCCCAGACAAAACTAACAACAGAACCAAACGCTTTCTTCACCACAACCAATCTCCCAACTACAAAAGGAGTCAATAAATATGGCATCTACACTATCCCACACCTTCACCCCACCAGCATACTACCCCTCATCCCTATCTCCCTCCTACCACCCCGCCCTCCACTACCGCCCCTCCATCCCATCAGACTACCTCCCAAATGACGAATATCGCTACCTAGTCAAGCAACAACATCGCTCTCGCCTAGAAGCGCATTTTGCACAACCCTCTCTCTCTTCGACCCGAAACATGATACCAAAGACGCCGTACCAAAAGCAAGGTAATTTGAGCCGTGAGCGCCGGGCGGAGATATCTGCCGCGAAGTTTGCTACTCGTGCGGCTCTGGGGGCGGGTTTTGATTTCACTGATGAGGGGTTTGATAGGATGCGGGCACTTGATAACCCACAGCGGTCTTGGACTAGGCCGGACGAAGACGAGGACTCGGATGAGGAGCCCATTCCGGCTCGGTATATCGCCGAGTTCAACGAGGAGATGCGGAAGTTTGAAAGGATGTGTGATGAAGATCAGCATCCTTCTGACATCCACGCATCGCGGCATCAGCATGCAGGTACGTATACTGACACTAAACCCCTGCCGCCTTACAAGCCTTCGCTACCGCCTCCTGCGCGACGTGACAGCGGTTTCGAGGAAAAGACTGTATGTGAGCCGACGCCACAGCTTCAAAGTAAGTTCAGCTGGGACAATCTTGACGACACCGATGACAAGTCTCCGAAGCGAAGAAGCTTCTGGTCTCGTCATCGCCGGAGCAAGAGTGTAGAAGCTACCAAGGTGCCCGAAAAGAAAAAAAAACGTAGAACATGGTAGGTCAGCAATGAAAAATATGTAAAAGTAAACACGGTGAAAATGCAGTGTGATGTGTGTAGTCACGAATATGTACATTGAATTGTTAGTGACTGCCATGAGGCTTGGCTGTAGTGTATGCTGGCTCTTCATTTTCGATGCGTCTAAGCAAAGCCGAAGAACTTCATGTCGTCGGCACCCCGAATGGGGACGGTGTGACCAACACCAGCAGCGTAGATGCCCTGGACATCAGGACCGTAAATAGTCCTTGTGTAGCCGCTCTGGGGGTCGTTGGCCTTGGTGCTCTGGGGCTTGTCGTAGTTGTAGCCGAAAACGCCAGCCTAACCAATATCATTAGCACGTGATTATTCGAGAACTTAGATCGCGAGACTTACCCATTCCTTCATGGTCTCCTGGTAGTTCTGGGGGCGTAGAGTGGTGTCGGCGCTGCCGTGGTAGACCTGCATCTTGGGGCGGGCACCGGTGTAACCGGGGTACATGTTCTTGACTACGGTGGCCCAGGCTTGAGGAGTGGCGATTGAGTTACCCTGAGCGCAGGTGCTGTTCCAGGCGTCGACTCCGTTGGCGGCGGAGGCGAAGCAACCGGCGGCGACACCGGAGTAGGGGATGGCGGCCTTGAAGATGTCAGGATAGGTAGCGGCCATGACATTCTAAAGGGGGTTAGCAATTATAACATGATCAGGACTCCATCAGACGTACGGTCATCATGGCGCCACTGCTGGAACCGGTAACGAAGACCTTGGACGAGTCGGCCTTGTACTCCTTGACTGTCCACTTGACCATGTTGGCAATGGTGTTGCTGTCTCCTCCTCCCTCGTGGCTCAGAGTGGCCTTGCTGCTGACATCCCAGCACTTGCCCTCGTGAGGGGACTCTGGGTAGATGACAATGAAGCCATACTGCTCAGACAACTTGGCGTAAGGGCTACCGGTGTAGTATGCCTGCGCGGTACCAGTGCAGTAGTGGATAGCGACAATAACTCCTGGCGACGCCGCAAGCTTCTTGGGCACGTAGATGTAGAAGCCAGCCTTGGTGGGCGCAGCACCAAAGGAGGTGACCTGAGAGAGCGCGCCAGGTGTCACGGCACGCTTGGCGATGTCAGTGGTTGCAGCCGCAGCTACGGACAGGAAGCTGGTGACAGCAGTGAGGAAGCGCATGATGTTGACTTGGAATGAATGAACGCGGTGGGTGATCCAAGAGTCTTGGGATACAGACCTTCTTATAAAGCTTGTCTTCAGCCGGAGCGTGCGTGCGGTTCAAGGGATGCGGTCTGCATTGAAACGATCTCCCCGAAACTCTCCAGCAATCAGCAGTAGCGGAAATGAGGTCACGCAGTTCTCGACTAAAGTGTTTCTCCCCACATCTTCGGCGCCACAACGTAGATGAAGGGCTGACAGTTGTCATTCGCCCTCTAGTGGGACTTGGAACGAACTAGTGAGCGGTAAATTAAAAGCTTGTTTCCATTAATCCTAGCTCGGCATTGGTTCCAGGCGCGACGTTTCGAACATATACCGACCCTTGACCTTTACCATGTGTTTACCCGGTCCGGGGAAATTCACAATAGTAACCCCACAGGACAGGTAAGCAGGCGCGCTATATGTATAGAGGTCGCATGCGACATGGAAGAATTGTTTGCGAGTCCGCCGAGCCTGTGCGGACAGGATGAGGGGGTTTGAGTAGTGCCGAGGAGTCTGACACGATACTGACTGTGGGTGCCATGCTGATGCGCCGGGTCCAGATCTAGACGTTGAGGAGGCCGGTGCGCTTGGTGAGCTCTGGTTTCGCCGTTGGGTCATTGCTCTTGAACAATCGAGGCTGTGTAAGCGGTTGGGCTATTCGGCGCGCCCAACGCTTCGAGCGCAACGCTTCTGGCTTCACGGTTCTTGATCTCGTACTCTCTTCTTCATCTTCCAGCCCACATGCCATCGCCCCTTCCTAGACCGCCGAAGGTCAGTCCGCCCATAACACCACCGCCGCCGCCAATGTTCTTGCCTTCATTGACAGGCCTCTTGGCGACTCTTCCCTGTGCCTTGACGCCTTGAATGACTTTGTCCAACTGCGTCTCTACCACGACTCCGCCCACTATCATCTCACCCAGTGTCGCATGTAATGTCTCGAAGTTGAAGATCAGATCCAGCTCGCATACGTTTTCGAAAAGACCATCGAGGGCTTGGACGAAGACCTGGATGAGATCAAGAAGCGCGAGAGGCGATTCGGTGGATGTAGATATGACGATGAAGTAGAGAGTCGCGTAGTGGCGGTAGGTGACGAGGGAAGGTGTGTCGTTGTGGGGAGTCGTAGGCGTGCTGGATTTGGAGCTGCTGGCAAGGAGCGGCGGGAGGCTAGGTACATGTTAGCGAGAATACTGTGCCAGACCATGGAAGAACGTACGGTAAGAAGTTACATGCTGAGTTTGGGCGGTTGGCGACGAGGGTGAAGATTTCGGAGATGAGGCGCTGCTGGACGCTGGTTTCCTGGGTGGTGGTGAGTACGAGAGCCCTGGAGCACAGTGTCAGGTCACGTGTAATGTACCAGCTGTGTATAGAACTTGGTCAGTCGCGGCTGGCCGGCATTGTTGAAGACGAGGACTGCGTTGATCATGGTGTGGATAGGTGGTGGTGAGGCGCACACTGGCGTTGGACATGTCCCACCGAAGGATGCGGGGAGGCGCGCGAGGGTCCATGCTCCTCCAGCTTGCGTCCAGCCCAGGAACAGAACACGCTCCCGCTACTCCGCAACTTCCACCACCAACAATCCTCTCAAGTACACCAACCCATCCAACTCAGTCACAATGAAGCCAGCTACTCGATTCGTCAGCACCGCCGTTCGTCGCGCCGCCCGATCTTCCCTCCGCGTTCAGTCGCCCGCCAATTGCATCATCGCCAGCAGAGCTCCTGCCATCAGCCATGCTACCCCCGTTCGCAGCTTCCACGTATCAATGGGTATGAGGGTGGGCATCATGCCTGGTGAAGAGGACCCGAAGCCCAAGGAGAGCGAAGCACATGACGAACCTGGCAAACCCACGGAGCTCTCAATAGAAGAATTCCACGAGCGCGCAGACTATTACCTGGGCGAGCTGGTACAGAGGTTAGAGGAGGCCCAGGAGAACGACCCGGCCATCGAAGTAGACTATTCCGTAAGTCACTATTACAAAGCACAACGTTGGATTGGATACTAATTCGATTGCAGGCTGGCGTGCTCGAAGTCACTTTCCAAGAGAACACATTCGTACTGAACAAACAACCCCCGAACAAGCAGATCTGGCTCAGTTCCCCAATCTCCGGACCAAAGCGATTCGACTGGGTCGTCGCACAAGAGGG